TAAGCATCCCCGCCCTGTGCTTTGGACTGTCAGATGTCCTGATGTTTCCTCTCTTACAGTCTCTTTCCTCTCCCATGAAAGACCAGTTAGCAGAAACCCCTCTGATCCTCCGTGGGTTTGGGACCCAGAAGGGTGGGAGCAGCCCCAGCCCTGCAGTGACTGTGAACTGGCATGCTCCTGGCGCTGTGGGTCTTGGCTTTAGTCGGAGGCTCAGAAGTTCTGGCTCTGCCTTCTCTAGGACATCTTAGGACGTGACAATTTTTCTTCCAGTTTTGCCCAAATTGCTGGTCTAGCCCAGGCTTGCCCCCTTCTCCCAGCTTCCCAGGGTGTCGCTGTGGCTGCACAGGGTACCCTGTGGGTGCTGCCCTCCCTGGCTAAGTCCTGTAGTCCTGGGGTGCAGGCTGGGGCATGTCCACCAATGGACTGGCTTCACCTGGTCTTCAGAAAGCAGATCATCAGCAGGAACAGTGATGGCTGCATGGCAGGGACAGCAGGGTGGCAGGGTTGGTGGAATGGCAGGGACAGCTGAGCCAGGAGCTGCGTGGCCATGTGCTGCAGGGTGCACTGGGCTGGCATCAGGGGTGGCAGAGTGAGCCTGCACCACCACTTCCCCTATGACTCCTCTTGGAGTCAGCTGTGAGGCAGCCTGTTTGCTTCACGCTAAAGACAGTAAAGAGGATAAAACGAGATCTGTTTGCTCAAAACACTGGGACTGTTTAGCAACCCAGACCTCCTGGTCGCTCCAGCCACTTGCACGATGTACTGAGCTCATAGCCTTCAGCCTGTGGCCTTGTCCCCAGTGCCTGCGCAGCCTTCCACAGGACTGCAGCTTCAGGTGTTGCTGCAGTGATTTCTTGCTCCTGTTGCTTCTCTTTGCAGTAGGCATGCCAAAGCAATACTTCTGCACAAACCCAACTGAGGGGCATTGATTAGAGGAGGAAGGAAAATCACGTTGGGGCTGAAAAAGCTGCAATTGCAACTGTTTACAGCTGATTAAAAAAACAACCCACCCCCCATATCCCCCCAACAAACGCAAACACAAAACCATCACTGGAGATATGAAAAATAAACCCCTGGCTTCTTTAACAGATGGCAAAATCTGCTGAGTTTGTGTAGCCTGCATCTCTCTCTCCTGTCTCCTCCAATCTGCCCAGGACATGTGTTTCTATAAGGCTGTCTCTTAAAAAGACCAGCTCTTTTCAAATGATTCAAAGCCAGCCCACTATTCACCACCACAAGAAATTACGAATGAGGATAGGGCAAGGGCATATGTGAAAGGCAACTGGGGTCTCATTTCAGCCTCAAGGCAAATGTGATGAACCCCTGGGCTCCAGGACATTTCATCCCCACGATGGTTTCCTGGTGCAGCATCCTCAAGGCCATGTCTTGAAATGAGCTGCTTCAGCTGGCAACCTGACACATGCCAGCAAAATAACAAGCCCCCATGCTCCCAGCAGGCATCCTGGACCAGCCAACCCTTCAGGCTGCTCAACCTCAACTGCAGGTCATGAGACTGTGCGAAATGCAGTAACATAAACAAGGGGTTTGCCAGCATCTTCAAAATCTGATCAAAACCCCACCAGCCCCAAATATTTACATGGTGTCACTATGGTGATGAAGAAAAATACATCCTGAGCTGCAGGAAGAGGGCTGTGTTTTCCAGGCAGGGATGGGGAGGCAGGAGAAGGATGGAGGCCATCACAAACGTGACATTTTCTAACTCTGGAGCAAATGGCCTGGGAAAGTCGGTGCTGGAACTGCAGAGGGTGATGCTTGCAGGACATTCCCCTGGGGTGAGTGTGGGGAGCAGCTTGGGTGGCCCAAGGAGCCCAAGGGAACCCTGGTCAGCAGGAGGGATCTGTCAAGACAGTGCAGGCTTCCCCAGCAGTGCCCACTGCCCAAAGCTGGTGGGCAGCAACGGGGAGGCAGGAGCAGGGCTGGGCATGGGCTGGGGACTTGGCCAACCCTTCTGCTGCAGGTTGCTCCCACCACCTCCGCCCATGTGTGCTCCATGTACTCTCCTAATGTCTCCACAGACTGGTGTCAGTACAAGCAGGTTCAGCATGTTCAAGCTCCCTATTTACGGCATGACTCAGAAATGCAAATCCAGACAGGCTTCCCTGCATAAAGACCTAGAGCATTAATTTTCACTTAAGCCTTTGGCTGCTATTTCCAGACACCGTCACACATTTCGCCGTTTAAATGCCAACACCAATGCCATATCGGGTGGGATGCTGCTGGAGGCTGGCTTGCTGTATGCCACCAAAACCTGAGATGTGACTAGCTGCAACAGCGATGTGTGGGGCATGGAGAAGGTGTCTAGGTATGTTTTGCTGAAAAGAATGGTGGAGGCTGGATTCAGGAGAGATGAAACAGCTCTACTGGAAATCCCTCCCCAGCTCGATTTCTGCTACAATGCTGGAAGCCTTCTTTAGGGGGCGATTGAACAAGTGCCAGTGATCTGCTACATGGCCATAAAATGTGGCCCCTGAAGCGTTTTGGAGCTCTTGGGAAGTTGTGTTTGTGTAGAAGGGTCATATGGCTAATTACTCAAGCAGGCTCATCCCAGAAAGGCAGCAATACCTGTACCTTTGCCATAGCAGAGCATTCCACAGGCCCAGAGGTATTTACTGTTGGGCTAATCCCAACTGTCATGTATCTTCATATATTTTATCACACTGGTCTTGTGATACTTGGCATATGTATGAGCACTATACACACAACATTGTGCATCTGTATCCATATACTCATATATAAGTATACACACATACATATAAGCAATACTCCTAACATGGGCATCTGGATCCCTAGCGAGTCAGAGAGCCAAAAAGCAGTTTCTGGTTATTATGCTTGTGGTCTGTCAGAGAGATGAGCATGTGCGGGTTGAGCGCAGCCTCAGACCTTGTGCAGGGAAACCTTGGCCATTCGCCTAAGTGAACGCAAAGGTGCATCTTCCAAAACATCCTCCAGAATCACCCTGTGCTGTGGCTGCTGGGTGCACCCTGGCACAGGAGCTGACACAGGAGGCCATTCTTGTGCTCTCTGAAGAACCCCAACCCTGCCGTGGGGCCAGGTAACCCCACGTTGCAGCAGGGTCCCCGGGCACCAGGCACTGCCTCAGTGCCTCCCTGGATCCCACTTCCCACCATAGAGACATGTGGAGGACGGCTCCCTGCAGCCGCATCCCTTGGAATAACACCAGCGGATCATTTGCTGTGTGTTTTCTGGTTGTTCCAGTGACCCAGACCCTCACACCCCCCCAGCCATGGTGTGATGCATCCAGCTCTCCCCCAACACAGTGATTGAGGGCTCTGCTGGTGTTGCCTGGTCCCAGCCTTGGGGACTGCCCAGGGATGGCTGAGGGTGTCCCAGGGCTCCCCCAGGCTCCCCCTGTTCTTTGGTCACTTCTTGGAGGGTGCTGAGTGCTGTGGACAAGGGCTGAAATGAGATCAGGAGGGGCAAGTGGCTCCTGACACAAGCAGCAGATTTTCAGGCTGATGTTCTCCATGTGCTTTCCACTGCAGATCTTCATATGGGGAAGACATGAGCACAGGTGTGCACTGAGGGACTTGTTGCGTTAACACATGTTCTTGTACTACTCAGTAATCCACACATAAACATGTTATTTCTGCTACTATCTTGATTGATGATTTATTTTATCTCTTTGCACTGGAAGTTTCCTTACCCTCTACAGTGCTCTCCCAAAACTTGTACCCAAAAGGCCTGGCAAGACCAAGGGCTCCTGAGAGCTACTGCTGCAACAGATGTGTTGGTTTCTCAGGAAACTGAAAAAGCAAATAAAAACATCATCCCAGGAGGCTGGTCCAAAGGAAACTCATCAGCGTGGCACAGGCACCCTCAGCCCCACTGCCCAGGTGATTCCTCAGGCTTCAGCTCACATGCTTGGCTCACAGCCTGGTAGCTGCTGTGGTGCCTGTAGGGGCACAAGAGCCAGCCCTGATCACTGCCAGCTGCACAGCCTTTGGGCATCTCTGTGTCCACAGGGAACGGGGACAGGCTGAGCTGTGGTTGGGAAGACATCTGCAGTGAGGAGGTGTTCCTTTATGTTGCCCCCTCCAACACTGTCAAAGGGGCCTCACACTCAGACCAGCCTCTCAGGAAGACTGGGTGGTCCCTGTGCTGTGCTCACTGTCAGGCACCACATTGATTCCAAAAGCCCAGTACCCCCCACACTCGTGATGCCAAAGGCATCTGAAGGAAAAAATGGCTGTTCCATCTTTCCGTAATTAAAACGTGTGTGAAGCCATTTGTAAAATGACTTCTTAGAGTAACCTTGGCCAGTGAATTGGGTCTCTGTGCATTTTCTTTGGTTCACACAATGGTGTTTTAGAAAGGACTAACACAATCTTTTTTTATTCAGAATGAATTCATTATTATTTAAATATCAATGCAGTTTTTATAATAGTTATCAAGAATTCCCAGTACCAGGGGAAATAAAACATAACCACATGCTTGGCTATGTTCAGAGCTTTAGCAAGCCTCTCCATCTTTTAGCTGAACATGCTATGGTGGTATGTGTCAGTACAGGTGAATAAATACGAAATAAAGCAAATGCTAAAAGAGACGTTTCTCTGTGGGCCTGGAAGTGTCTACTGGAGAACCACAGCCTCCTCCTGCCGTGTCAAAACCCCCGTGTGAGAACTGTTATCTGGGCTGGGATGCAGAGCAAGCAATACACGGTTGTCAGAGCAGCGATATCCAACTAAGGAGAGACCAAGGGGCTGGGGGACAGTGCGGTACCTGGTACTGCAGCCCAAGACAGCAAGCCCTGCACTTATTTCTTGCCTCCAACTGCAGGTCAGTGTCAGTCCCAAAGCCCCCCATGAAGGCCATGTCTAACCACAGTGACTAAAAATGAAGCTGCCTTCTTGCAAAGCCCAGGAGCAGTAATAAGCCTGACACATTCCTCCTACCATCTTCAGGAAAAAAAGTGAGTCATGCTACTACTGAAATATAAACTCCCATAAATAACATTAAAAAAAGAAAAAAAAGACATTTTCAAGTACTCCCAAGCAGGGTCTTTCTCCCCCAGCTGTTGTGGTTGTGGTCCTGCTCCCTCACAAACTGCTCCTTACAAGCCAGGGCAGATGAACCTAAATTCAAATGGCGCTCCCAGAGTCAGAAATACACCCCTGTCCATCTGGGAGAGAAGGAACATGTTTCTGTTCTGCTCTGCTACAGTGTTTAACATGGGAGCATGAGGGACACAATAATATACAAAATAATGAACCTCTCCCAAAACAATAGCTTTGTACACTCCTTGGAAAGATCCTTGGCCAGCATTAACTAGATGTTACAGAGGGAGAAGTGGCCAGAGGGGAGAGCTTCACATTGCTAAGGACCAGAGCAAGTCCTTTTCATCTAAGCTTTTGCCAATTAGAAAGGGGAGATCACAGTCCCCAACACTTCCCTTGGCTTCCTCATTCCCCTGCTCTTTGCTAAGTGTCACACTGCAACACTGCAAGACTGGTCCCCTGTGGATAATGCTGGGCCTGAATGAGTGCTCCCCACCACCCTCCTGGGCTTGCAGGGCTCACCAGAAACACAGTGAACACACAAGGACCGCACTCAGCTTTCCTGTCAGACACAGACTCCAGGGCTCCTATACCGATGGAGTCAGAGGAGGGTTTGCTACACAGACTGAGCCTGGCTTGGGTTACAATGCTGGCTGTTGCATGACATGGGATACAACTGGGACATTAGACAGCTATTGGAGACAGCTCTGCTGCTTCATGCCAATGAATGCTTTTGCTGCCGTATATTCCTGCAAGAGCCCTGCCTGCTCCTGCCTTGCTGCAGGTTCAGGCGCACTGGGAGATGATGTTAGAGTTGCAGTCTAAGGTGTGAGTGTGGCTTCTTCTGCAGTTTTCGGGCTCACAGCCAGCAGCAGGTGGGCTGACCAAGTCCAGGTAGTAGGGGGACTTGAGGAAACGGCGGTACGAATCCTTTTCCATGAGGGTGAATATTTTTCTCTGAGCTTCATCAAAGCAGGACAGTGTAGGCTCCAGCATGTTGTGGCTTGTCTTCTCCCGTGTGCATGAATCCAGGTTCACCTGTGGGCCAAAGGGACAGCGTAATTAGAATGTGTCCCAGAAGTGGCTAGCATAGGTAAGGGAAAATCCAAGCATCTCTCCACCAAACGTGCTTTAGCTCGCCTTATTGGGCAGATGTCTGTAATGGCTGTTTGACACACCGTAGCTGTGGCAGAATCTGCGCAGCTGGATACCAATGCATCCCCATCCCTTCTGTCAGATGAACTGTCAGGGAGGACTGACACATACCCCTATGGGATGCGGCCAGCCAGGAAACTAAACTGCATGGGAGGAGCAGGAACACTGGGAATCAGAGTCCTCTTGGGCTTCTCCCATTTGAGTATGCCCACAGGACGGTCACATGGTTGTGACTAAATCCACTTTCTCTCTATCCAAGTTTAATATGGAAGCAATAAAAATGACACATTTACTTGCTAACTAGCAGAGAAGCAGCACCCTTCAACTCTTGTGAAATCACCAGTCTCTACTTCCCTGTGCTGCTGGCCTAGTTCAGAATTCAGGGTGATACCTTTGCCCAAGAAATATTCTGTGCACATACCTCTTTTGTTGCCTGCACTGAGATGAACTCATCATAGATCTTTCTGGCCTTGGTGCTGAGCTTGGATGGTGACTTGGTTTTCTTGTAGTCCTCACAACTGACCCAGAACTCGATGTTTTCCTCACTGTACTCAGATTTGAGAAAGGCACGGAAAGCTGCCAGTCCTCCTACAGATTGTTTAGAGAAAAAACAGGTCAGGTAAGAGTGTTGGTTTGTGGATAGTTGTACCTGTGAACTCCAGCAAACAGCAGTTCTGGGTTCTCCTTCAAGGAGCAGAATGAGCAGCTCCCCTGGGGCTAGCAGCAAGGATGGCTGCCTGTCTCCATGGTAGTTCCTCGTGCAGCTCGTGTCTGTTGAGGGAGACTGAAATTCAGACAGGCCCCACGGGGATGTTGCATTTGGGTCCCCCAGCTGCCTGCTCCCCCACTGTGAGACTGCTCCAGTGTCTCAGCCAGGAGAACACAGGCAACTCACATGTTCCCAGGAGGCCCTGAGGAGACAGCCAACAGTTGCCACAGAGCCTCAGGCCATGGGAACAGCACAAAAGAAACCTCAAGAACATCAGTGCAGCCTGGAACCGACAGGAAGACAAAGTCTCCCATGGGCTCAGTTTCTCCATTTTTTGGTTCTTGTTTAACCCACTGTTAACTGTGTGCTGTGGTCTTGCACTCCCCTTGCAGAGGGGATAAACCAGTTGCATTTACAAAAAGGACAGCTTAGCAACAGGTCAAAGCCCCACTCTTGACATCTTATGATTGTCCCTGGGATTTCACCAAGGGGACACTTCACCACCCATCCCAGAGGCCTGTGCGGCCAAAAGAGGTACTGTGTGCTGCTAAGAGACATAACAGTCCATGCTCACTTCAGGGACTGCTCACAGCACACACACTGCAGGCAGCAGAAGGGCCCTCTTTACTTACTGTCATGATGGATCAAGTTTTCCAAAGAGTCCGCCCACTTTCTGACTTCTTCTTGGCTAACCCTAAAAGGAGACAAAGGCAGAAACATAGGGAAGATTTAAGGGCCATACAGAAAAGACAAACTTCTTGTTTTGCTCTGCACCATTAGAATATCTTTTCCCCTGATTGTTCTAAGAGCATACACAAAAGACCAAGAAGGAAACGTCTGATTCCTTTAGAGAGACCCCTGAGTATCCCAGATCCAATCTACAGAAATGCTGGTTTGTGATCTCTGGCAATTATTGGAGACTTTGTGTTTATTTTGTGACTGATTGCATCTCTTGCTGGAGCACAGAGTTGGTACCATTCTTACACAGGTCGTATCAGCAAACTTCAAAGAGCTGATTTCTTTAACCTGTCAGGGGAACAGCAGCTGGGTCTTGTGATGGCGTTATTTCCCTGCACAAATCTTTCCGTGTGCATATGCATATTGAATCACAGAAGTGCTGGCAGAAAAGGACATCTAGTTTAACTTTCCTCATGGAAAGGGACTATCAATACCTGAGAACTATTGCCCACTAGATTCAAACACAGGCATTCAGGAGTTACAAGGAGGCAGCAGCAGAAACACTATCGAAGTTGAGTTCAGTGAAGGAGTAAATAACATGTTGGTGCCAGCCTGGGCTTAACTACGTGGCAGCATCTGCTCTTACCTCTGGCTTGAAGATATTTTCTCCTTCTTGCCCTGGGAAGAGCTGTAGTCACAGGAGTCTGACTTCTGCAGCAAGAAGCCCAGACGATGCTTCATGTCTTTGGCACTGAAAGAAACAATTCGAGAGCAAGATGAAGATAATGCATTGCAATTCCCGCTGCAGTGTCCTCACCCACAACAAGCTCCTTTAAATTCACTCATGACACAAATGCAGGTGGCTGCTAGTGACTCCAGTGCTGACTTTCCTCACATAATGCACATTTCTGCTGCTAGACAAACACAACGAAGTCAAAGAAGTAATTTTTCGTGTTCAACAGCACCAACCATTTTCTTGCTGAGAAGGTCATCTGCCTGGAGGCGGGCCTTGCAAAGGGGGAGAAGTTGCTGTTTTCCTACTGTTCGTTTACAATTACATTATTATGATAGAAAGGCATCACTACACTGTAAATGCGTCACTTCTCCTTGAGCTGGTTTGCGCAGCTACCAATGTCTGGTTCTTACACCCTTGCTAATCCTTTTGCATATCGATACAGGAACAGCAGGGCCATGCCAGGCCACGCCACCAAGCAGCTGCCTGTGACCAGAACAGCAAGGGCTCCTCAGGCCGAGCCATGAGCTTTCATGTTTCCACAGCAATCAAGGATTCATGTTTAATTTTGTTCTGCCTTCTAGCATGCTTAGGACAATCATTGCCTGATAGCAGCATCTAGATTACAGATGGTATTGCTTTCAGCATCTCTCTGGATTTTCTTCCAATTTAAGAACTGGAGGAAGTGGTGGGTAAATCAGTCCTGCTTGCTTTGGGGTGCAAGCCCTGGCCTGCTGCAGGGTGCAACGATAGTGTAAGCATGAAATTACTCTCCTGCTTCTCAGATCAGAGCCTGGAAAAGAGCAAGAGGCTGTGTAGGGGCTGAGCACTGGTAGCTTCTCAGCCTCCCAGCACTGCTCTTTGCACCGTGTCAGCACCCCCGATCATATCTTATCTCACTTCTTTGCTGTGCTCCTAAACGTTTCCTTAACAACTGCAGCCCTAGGGTGAGAGTGAAGGGACCTCAGAGCTTCCTTAGAGCTTGTGATGAGGGCCAGCACCCAGGCCTTGCCCTGGCAGACATCGGGTACTCTGCACTGGCAGACTCGGCTGCCTCGCGCGGTCATGCTGCTTGCCCCCAGAAGAAGGAGACTGCTCAGGTCTGCAGGAAGGCGGCAGCAGGGGGAAACAAGATGCTGCTGCTTGCAGTGAGTCCCGCAGCTTTCTGGGAGAGAGGGATTTTCTTGGCAATCCTGAACAGAAAGGTTAAAAGATGTGAACTCTCCCCTCCTCTTTTTCTTTTTTTTTAATGTTCTTTTTTTTTTTCTCAATCGCATGTTCCTGAAAACTGGGGGGGGTGGGGGGGGGGGGGGTGGGGTGGGGGTGGGGGTGGAGGGTGTCAATATTTCTTCCTTGCATTTTCATCACTTGTTTTCAAATCCACCATGAGTGGAAGCTTTTTCTTCTAGATGGGAGCTGGCTGAGCCTCAGTTTGTATTTTCCCAACCCTCTCCCACTGCACAGCCACTGGGAAGCAGCCTGAAGGCATGAGGGGCCGGAAAGCACTGCACCATCAGAGACCCATGCAAGTCTGCATGGGCTGGATGAGCAGGGACTTCTGTGGGACTGGTGCCATTCTGGGGACCTGAGCCACTCTGCTGGGGGTCTCAAGGCCCCATAGCACCTGAAAGGGAGTAACACCCCTCCATGAGAGCTCATGGCCACCTTGCTGGCATAGAGATCACCTCACACTGGGCTGCAGGGCAGGCCATGAAGCCAAGAGCGTGTCTGGGGGGCACAGGGATGCCTGGCTGGCACCGCACACCTGGGTGCAGCCAGATCATGCACCCATGGCAGGGGTACAGCTCAGCCCTTCCTGATCAGCATGGCACACTGGGCATGGCCAGCCCCACACCAGCCCCACAGCACTGTGCACCGGGATACAGCCTGCCCTGGTCCCTCACTGCCCCTACACACCCGGGGCTGACTCTGCACTGGCTGGTGCTGCATCCAGATCCGCGTTGCCCTGGGCTGCCTTGCAGCCCTGCCTTGTCCTGCCAGGCTGGCCTTCTGCGTTTGGGATGCGTTTTGGAGAATGACTCTGAATTCTGTTGTTTTGTTTTTTTTTTTTTATATATATCCTTCCTGCCTTCTTTTTCCCTCAAAAAATCAAGAAAGAAAAATTCAGCAGAGAAAGGATTCAATAGAGAAAAGGGGTGCAAAGCTTGTGGCAGGAACAGATGACAGGAATATCAATATGTAGCAGTGCTAAGAGCTGCTTGTTTTGCTGATGAGAAGGATGGGCTTAGAGATCGCACAGCACAGTACAAAACCTTCATGTAATTCTGCTTCTGAATAATAGAAAAAGAAAAAATAGCCTGTAAGCAATCATTTCTATCTCATCTTAGAAAAGCAGCAGAACCAAATCTGCCACTTGTGCTTCAGACACCAAGTTCAATACATCAGCCTAACAAGACCATTAACAGACGCTCAGAAATAAACAGTACCTTTTTAAGCAAGTGGCTGGCAGCGCAGCGAGTCCCTTGCACATCTTGCTCTGGAGGTTGGTTCTGTATTCCAGGAAAAACAGCAACGCAGGAGGAGGCAGAGGCTGCGTGTGGGTCCCTCGCGTCTGCAGAATTCAGTCTGGTCTCTGAGCCAGCTGCGCTGCCTTGGCTCTGTTTTATAGCCTAGCCCAGACAGCCCAGCAGCAATGGGTGACCCAGTCAGGACTCAGCACAGCGGCAGCACCCATCCCCTTTTTGCCCACCCAAGAGGAACAGGGTGACGTATAAACCAAGACAAAGGAGTGAGCGGGATTGAAAACCTTAACAGAAATGAAGCTTGGTGTCTGGCTGCAGAGGTGGATCCTTTTAAAAGGGCAGAAAGATCTTCAGGGGCTTTCTTCTATTGCAAAAGGTGGAACGGTGCAGGTAAAAGCTGGAGAGGGACACAGATGGTAAAAAGGGTCAGAGAATCAGTTTGGAGAAGTGAGATGAGCTTTGATGGCTCCTCAGTTTATTTTCCTCTTCTATTTAAAGCAACCTGGGGAAAACAAGGGACAAGAATTTTAAACACAAAAGGTTCCTATAATCCCAGGAAATGCAGAAAACAGAGATCTGAGGAAAGAAGAATGTAAATTCAACAGGGAACAACCCAGGCAGACAAGACTATCGTGTTTTATTCTAGAGGCATGTGGGTATAGGCTTTTGGTGGAGCTAAAAAAAAAAAGCTCTGAGGGGCATATTGCTATTGGAACATAAAATGTGTGTGTCCTGGCACACATGCATTTGGGGACAGCTCATGTACATGTGTACAAATAAAGACAGGAGGAGGCTGGCCACACAGCTGCCTTAGATATACCATATTTGACTCTAATCAAAAGCCAGACCTTGGGAATCAGGAGTCCCTGAATCTCCAAGGGATGATGATTAATTAAAACAATAGGCATAACTGTGCCTGCCCAGAGAGGAATTTGCAGCAATGTTGAAGCTGCTGTGTGCTAAAGGATGAAATCCCTGGCTGTGGGGATGTTTGGTGGTGACTACAATGCCTGTACTCACAAGGGAGAGCAGAATGAGCCTGGCTACATTACTTGTGCTCAGCCCTTGGAGGGTGCAGAAAGTAGTTGTCTCTCTGGAGAGAGTTGGCTGATATTTATTGAACTGCAGCTCAGCACAGCCTGTACCATCATTATGGAAGAGGGGAAAGCTCTGGGCAGACTGGCGCGCCACACTTGAAGACTTACTTCTGCTGCGAAATAAAGAAGGTTCATTTCAGGAGCAGGCTATCTACCCATGCCACCACTGCTGCACTCCCTCCCCCAGAAACCCCTAAATACTTTGCCCATGACCTGCAGAAGTTGCAGGGTGAGATTTTCCCTCCTGTGTCTCTAGAACCTACAGCCAGCAGCACAGACAGCCCAAACCCCAGGCTAGTTTACCTGCCTTGGCGCACTGCATCCTCTCAGATTATTAACTGCTGAATTAACTAAAAATGCTTTTGTACGAATGTAACTAACCTGTTGCCAAACCTGAAGCAACATACTTGCAGGTTCTGCACTGTCTGGACTGAAAATCAGCTCCAGCTCAGGGCAGTGTAAAACTTTAACTGAGTGAATCCCCTTTTGTTTTTAGTGTTGCTTAGCTGACAGCACCTGTACAGATCTGTAGGTAGCAATTGAGCACTGGCAGAGTTAGTGCCAAAGCTCTTAAATCTTCTGTTTGGGAAAGAGAGAAGCCAAAGGGCAGAATATGGCCTACATGAAAAAACCTAATTAACATTTAATTTTACTCTCAGACACGTGAAATGTGTTGCATGCATGTTAATCCCAAGGTGCCATGCATGCAGCACATTTATTCAAGCAATTCAAGAGCTCAGCTGGCCAAGGTGTCTGTAAGCTGTAACCCTGACCCTAACCTTGGCAGCCAGAGCCTGACCTCCCGGCTCAGGAGGGTCCCAAAGGCTGCTTGCTAGGGCAGGGAACCTCTGTGCAGAACACAAATCCTGCAGTTTCTCTGTGAACTGGCATGTAATCAGATTTTGGAATGTCACTCTGTGGATTGTAAGCATGTTTGCTGCATGGCTCTAATCACATCCAAATACTGTCTGGTGCTGCCAACATCAAGCCACCTTCTGCATTCCCTGACTTCTGTGTGAGCAGGCTGTACTAAGAAATTTCTAACACTGCCACCACAAGAGCCAGCCCAGAGAGCTTTGCAACTAAGTCCATCCTCTCTGGACTAGGGCATGCAGACTCCTACAACTGCTGCAGCTGAAATTTCCCTTTTTCCAGTTCATTAATACAGACTGGTTCAGTCAGGCCCCCATGAGAGGAGTCTGGGTTTGCATACTGTTTCTCCTCTAAGCTGTGTTTCCCAGCTGTTGCAGTTTAATACCCTCTTAGCTGCTCCAATCAAAAGTACACCTTTCCATCTCTCACCCCTGGTAGTCAGCCTCTTTTCACAGGGCACAGACTGTGCTGTGCTCAACACCAGTCTCCTCCTCCCTGCCAGTTAGAGAAGCAGCAGCTCACGCCGCTTATTACGCCTACCACGTAACCTCTGGCTCACTTCATCTGCAGCATGGAGAACTCGGTGATGACGGGCTGGAGGTGTAAGGCTAGGCCTGGGGCTCCCTGGCCAAATGCATCTCTTGGCCATGTGGTGCTTTGGAGGCTCACAGGAGATAAAGGATAGCAAACATCTGCGGTACGCACTGTGGCATCCCTCATCCCTCACGCACTCATCCCTGCTGCATCACCCACCCTGCCTCCCTAGGCAGCTAGAGACAAGGCTATGGAGTGAAGGGAGCTTTCCCTCCCACCATCACTGCTGGGTAAAGACGTCATGCACACCGGCTCACCCCCATACACAAGCGCATGTGGGATGTGTCCCTCGGCTCTGCTGCAGCCAAGCAGCAGGCCGTGGGAGGAGGAAGGGAGCACGGGAACGCTGCTTCAGCGGTCGTTGCCCAGAGCCAAGCTACTCCAGGCTGTTGCCCTCCTGACAACGCAGGGCTCTCCCATCTCAGTCCCTTCCCATCTCAGAGCAGCGTGCTGTGGGATGCATGAGTGCACAAGGAAGATGGCTGCTTTGCGTCATTGAAAAGGGGAAGGGCATGACATAGGAGCTGTGAGGACGTGCTGCTGAGCCAGAGCCTCTCCTGTCACTGCTGCCTTCCCTCATGTGCCTTGCAGAGGCTAACAGTGTCCCACCCTTCCTCTTCTTCATGCCAGGCATCTTGGGATTGGGCTAGCAAATTGCCTGGGTGCACAGCAGGATGCTGGGCAGAGCACTGTCCATCTTTTCCATGGGCATCCCCACCCCAATACGTGTCTGACCTCTGATCTGCTCTGCAAGACAGCATTGCTGAGGAACCAGAGCAGCTTCCACACCCCTGAGAAGTGCTAACCAAGGTGGCACTGGTCCCCAGGGCCCCAGAAGCCCTGGTGACACTTAAACCCCTGTGAGCTACCCCAGCACCAAGCCCTGCTCTGGGGAGGGGGCCTGGAGCTGTGCTGAACTCCTGATTTGTTTCTCTCGTACCCGATCTCCTAGCACTCTTTGCACAAAATCTTTTACAGTGAAACCCCCGAGTAACCATTAACTTCTTCTCTGGTACACCCATTATAGTGGGTAAGATTTCGTTCTGGTCATGAAGGCTGTATCTTATCCACGTACCTGTGTGCTTTGATTGACTTACAGCTAAAGAGTTGGTAGCAGGAAGGACCATTTTGGCCTGAGTTTGGATGAATCAGCTCAGTGCATGCTTGTGCCTGACACTGCATGCAGCCACGTTTCCAACCACAGGGCCATGGCCTGACCTCTCTAAAAGACACATGGAGAGGACACACTTGTCCCCATGGAGTCCCCCAGCCAGTGCTCGATTCCCAGAAATACTGTCCCACAGCACAGCCTGAGGAAAACGTTCTTTCCCATATCTCTGCAATGCACTGCCTGACTTCATGCTTGACCGCAGCCATGGCCTCTGCAACCAGCCCCCAGAGGCATGCTTTGAGGAGGGGGAATCTCTTCCCAAACTAGCCCTGACCAGAGGCATAACTCACCATGTTATGTCACCGCTAATTTGCAGATCACACAGAAACCTTCTCAAGTGGATGCACCTCCAGGCTGACCCAGTCACCTTTCTGCTTCTCCTGGATGAGGCAAAGATGAAAGGCAAAGCAGCTTTGCGTGTTGCTGGAGTTTTTTTTCTGAGCCTGGTCCTCTCTGACGTGATGCTCTGTAAATGTTAGCGAATTCATTCAGCATGTTCCTTAGCTCCAACTTCATAAAATTCATACAACCAAACGTACAACTTATACAGTTTCCCCATGCTCTCAGCTTTTTTCTACTTATAGATGCACCTGTAACATCAGTGGATTGTTGTAATTTCTAAGTGCTTGGAAGTTCCTAATAATTTGGGGGGTGGGGGGGTGAGGGGGCTGGTTGGGTTTTTCTTTGCTTCAATCCTCAGCTTTTGGGCTGCCTGCTTTTGCTGTTACTACCCAGAAGAAAATATTTCTGGAAGGAAGAAATTTGTTCAGCCCAAATGGATTTTTTTAATTTTCTTCTGGTTTGGGTTTGCAAATGAAAGAAGTGCTTGGTTTTGTGTTTGTTTTTTGTCTGGCCATTGTTGTCATTTGTCGGCATCAGGCAACAGAAGAAGCTATATAATTTGAATAATTTGCCTTCCAATCTTCAAAATCTCTGTCTCATCATCCATCTTGATTAACAGCCCTTAAACATTTCCTCTTAATCACTGAGAAAGTTTCGCATAACACTGAACCACAAATCAAGCCAACACAGGCCTGTCCACTAAAACCACTTTGAAATGTTTCAGCCACTTTTAGTCCATTTAATATGGATTTTATGACATTTAAGCCAAATATTGATAGCAAGTCATATTCATTTATAAATCTATTTCACCACCATAAATCCCTCATAAAAGCACTATTAAGCTCATTAGAAAAGGTCTATTTTTCCATTAAATCACATCAGCTGGTACAAATTATATCACCACCTTTCCAAATGAGCCTGCTATCATCCATACTAATAGTGCTTCTGCACTGATCAAAAGGTTAATTGCTCTGTGACTATACAGCTCACCCCCTCTCAGAGCATGGCTGGTTTCCAGTCTCCTTTTATTGTAAGATGTATGAAAAAGAACCACTCTTTGTCCTGAGAGATCTTTAGCCTGTTCCTTCAAAAATCTTAGTGCAAGGCAGTTGCACTTGGGTGATATAAAACTGTGTAG